ATGCATCATGAGTTGGTGAAACGTGTTACATGTGTCAACTGATGGTAACTCTATGGACATGATTCACCTTCAGTGATCAAATCTACCTTAATGAAAATCTTTAATAGTGTTGGCTCCACCCCAAAAAATTTAAATTTGCATGTGGTACAGTTGGACACTGGGATAACAGAGCTTTCAAAAGCCCTCTAGGTGATTCTAATGTATAGGCAGGCTGAGAAATGCTGCTATTCATAGATACTGACTTTGATGTATATATATCCTTGTTCAAATTTTTCAAGTGGAGCAGTCTGACACAAAAGCTTGAAATGAGATTCCCATACCTGAAATATCCAAGTCACTTGCATCCTCCTTCCTAACCCCCAACTCAAAAGTAAAGGCTTCAATGAAATGACTATGGGGCCACTTGCATTTCGGGGGATCCAGCTGTGCTTTAGCTCTTCTCTAATGCCCATGACAATGAATAATGCATGCTCTGAAATATTGGTAATAAAAGGCAAAAACACAGAATACAAACTCAATGGCCTGAATCAATGGATTACTCTGCAGAGACCGCTATATTGAGAAACTGAAAGTACTTTTCAAAGCATAAATATTGTAATCACTCTCTAATTCTACTTCTCTTGAATAAATTAAAAAAAAAAAAAAAACATTGCATCTGCTGCTTCCCAGGTCTGGAGCAGCAGCGAGACAGCTGCTTTTCCAAACACTCACTTTCAGCAGCAGTGTTAAATTCCAAGCATTAGGTATCTACCAATGAGTGTCCTCAACAAAGTGGGTTGTAGAAGAGATTCCTGGGTCTGCCGGAATCTCGTATTGTTTGTTGGGAAGAAAAATCAAAATTTTAGATTGAGGAATACTGCTTCTCCACTAATAAGCCAAAGGAGGCAAATAGTTAAGCCTTTCTTAGAGAACCGTGGATCTCAGGTCAATGATTAAATCCACTATCCATGTTTTCATTCAAACAGGCAAAAGCTTGAGAAGATGTCCAAGAAAGTTCAAAGAAACTGTGTCTTCCGTTAGACTCTTAAAATACTTCTGAATTTCCATTTGTATAATCTTAGGAAACAAGAAAAACATTAAATCTACCAGTAACACCAAACCCATATTTGTTCCTAAACTCAGTCTCTTCTGCTACCAAGTTAATAACAAGAAGAAAAGTGAACTGATTACAATTTCAGCATTTCTCTTTTCCAATTTATTATCTGGTAAAGCGAACAGTGCCTGATAGGCAGCAGGAAAAAAATCAGAAAAGACATTCTTCACATTTAAGTAGAGGCTCTCACTCAGGGTCCTTCTCCACCATTTCCCCCTGCCCCCCGTCCTTTTTTTTTTGTTGTTAAGGCCAGCAACAAAAAAGAGAAATAAAAGAAAAAGGACATAATTATACCTGCATTTGAGCAACAACTAGCAGAACTCTGCAACTGGTATTATGCTAGTCTACTAGCAAAATGAACACCAGAAAAGCTCATCTATCCATGTTTCATTGATTTAAATTGATACCCACAGATACAAACCTATTACATTTACAACTTAAGTACACATTATGATAAGCAGAATAATGGCCCTGTGTTGATGTTCATAATCTAATCCCCACACTCTGTGAATGTATTTCCTTTTACAGCAAAAGGGAATTTAGATTGCAGATGAAACTGAGGTTGCTAGTCAGCTGACCTTAAAATAGGAACGATTACTCTGGATTACCCAGGTGGTCCAGTGTAATCACAGGGGTTGTTACAAGTGAAAGATGGAGGTGTAAGAGGGATCAGAGTGAAGAGAAATGTGGTAGAAAGGACTGAACTTGCGATCGTTGGTTTCAAAGACGGACAAAGAGGGCCATGAGCCAAGGAATGCAGGTGGTTTCCATAGCCTGGAAAAGGCAAGGAAATGAATTCTCCCCAAGAACCTCCCAAAAGAAACATGGTTCTGCTGACATCTTATTTTAGCCCTGGGAGAACTGTTTTTGTCTTCTCAACTATGGAGCTGTAAGATAAAAAATTTGTATTGTTTATGCCACTACGATTATAGCAATATGTTACAAAAGTATTAAAAAACTAATATACATGTGATTAAAAGTATATAACTGATACACTTTTCTGGTTACAAAAGTAAGGCATGCACAGTATTTAAAAGAAAAAAGCAAACACAGCAAACATTTGATGTAGAAAATTTAAATGCCTTATCACACCCATCGCTGATCCTCCACTGATATCCATTCTTGACCACTGGCATGTGGAGTGGGACTCTCTGCCTCTCAGGCCTCCAGTTGCCTACCCACAACCATAAATAACCACCCCTACTTGGCAGCAGATGTGTAATGTCAGAATTAGTTTATGATTTGTTGCTTATTCACTTAGTCATGTCTGATTCTTTTGCAAGCCCATGGGCTGTAGCCTGCCAGGCTCCTCTGTCCATGGATTTCCCAGGCAAGAATACTGGAGTGGGTGGCCATTTTCTTCTCCATAGTTTATGATTGTCCAGTGCAAAAAAGATGACAGTAAGGCTATAATAGGAAACTGTATTTGAACCTGGTTCTTAGATTTTGCTGAAGAATGTTTCTGCAACCATATAAGCTAATTAAACAGATTTTAACATGACCCTTTGGGGCCCTTACTGTCACCTACCAGGACCTCACCCTATGCAAGGAGAAAATCATCTTTACCCACCCGAGCACACAGCCGCGATGAACAAAATGGATCTGAGAGCCAGGCTCACCTCCTCCCTCCAGCCCTCCTCAGCAACTCCAGACTGAGGCCTCTGATTTCCTTTGTTACTGATTTATTCTTGACTTCATGTCCTAAATTTATAAGTTCTACAGAAATTAAGTGTTTAAGTACTCATTCCCTTAAGCCATTCCTTTGCTGGAATTTGCTAATATTTTCTATATACCTCATTTGTGCATAGATCAACAGCAATGATATTAGATTTTATCTTTTACAAAAACGCAGATATCTAAAATTCTGGGGAAGAGGGCTAGATGAACCCCCCTCAGAAAGCAGCTGGATATCTGGTACCAGAACACATGGGAGCCAGTGACATCTTTTCCTGAGGAATAGGTGTCTCCGGGACACAAGAGCTGAGGACTGGGTGACTTTCAGAAAGAGTGCATCACAGGAAGAGCTGAATTGACCCAGAGGCAAAGTGGCTACAGCCCTCTAGAGCTCTCAGAGACTACTGATTTAACTCTCCACTTGTTCGGTTTGATTGAGCAAAGGTCTTCATGCTCCTTCTTCCCTCTCTCCCAAGGATAATTTGCACCTGATTTGCAAAGTCCCTCACAATCAAGTAGACAACACTTAGGAGGCTGCAGTTATAATCCTAAGGGAATTAATGGGCTTCTTCTTTTCCACTTCCCATCCCAAATCATGCCTGCCCTTGGGCACAGTTGCTCAGACACTTGCAGCTCTAGCACACAGTCTATACACTAGTGTTTTCCACAGAGGGGAGTGTCTGGGGTCAATTTCAAGGAGTTCAATAGATGGCCCAAGCACATACACAAAAGGATTGAAGATCACTTAAACAAACCAGTACACAGATTAAAAAACAATCAAAACATTTCTTAGAAGTGGTTATAACTACAATGAACAGCAATAGGATAAACATGGAGATGTAAAACAGGACATCAAAATCACAAAATGTGGGGGAGGGTAAAAACGGTCCATCTTTTAGAATGCATTTGAACTTACATGACTATCAGTCTAAAGCAAGCAGATAGTTATAGGTAAATTTTCTTGAAAACCAGGGTAACCACGAATCAAAAACATACAACAGTTTCACAAAAATTAAAAAGAAAGGAACTGAATAGGTGGCCCAGAATGACTGAGATGGAATGGTGTTCATTCTGTTACAAGTGCAGGTAAGATTATTATGCTGATAGAGACAGGTTCTAACCTTGGGGAAGGCTTGGAAAAAGTGTCCTTTCCCTGGTTTTCTTTCTTTTTAGCCAATATTAGTTCAAGATGCCATGAACCTGAAATATGGTGGAAAAGAAGGACCAGATAGATGTAAGTTCAGAGAAAAGGGAACTGGGAGGCAAAGACCATGAAGGATATCAAGTGACACCAGAATTCACATATTATGTTATGCCCCAAGCATAAGCTCGTGAAGGCCCTGCAGGATAACTCCGAGACCAGACACTTAAGACTCAGAAACAGTTCTGTCACCAGTAACAGGCCAGGGAACATGAGTGATGGGGGCTAATCAAACCCAGATCCATATCCATTAGAAAATCAGAATTATTAAAGCCCTATGCATACCTGCCCCAACCACCAGTTGTGAGTAGCCACGTCATGATTGCTAACAAGGCTTTGATCTAAGGATAAAGATTTTGTTTATCTTGAAAAGTGCACAAGATGTATCCCCTTTCTTTAAGTTGATCAACACTCTTCTCTCCACCCAACATTCACTCACGAACGGAAATGTGAGATTCACACTCTTCACAAAAACCAAATGCTTTCTGTAAACCAAGAAATGTTCCATTTAAACTTACTCAACTCCCTCAAAGAGGTCTTGCATTTTAATAAACACTCTTTGTGACAGAAAAAAGGACAGTTATCTCAACCCGTCCATAACCCACAGAGGTACCAAGTGACCACAGCAGTCTTCCTCACCTCATTCTCTCCCTAGCAGTCACCTGAACAGGTGAAAGGGAGGCACTTTCCCCCACTAGATCTTGTACTAACAAGGCATCCCAGATTAACTCCATTAAAAGCAAAGTTCACCTTATCGATATTTTTCAAGGAAGAGTCTCTGCCCGTGGTTTCAGTTTAGTGAGCCAAAAGGAACAAACTGTTCCAAGCTTATCCTTAGAAAGATAAGAACATCACTGGCACACAGGTTCCTGTCTGTACAGGTATGCCTTTCTTTTTCCATCCTCAAAGCCACCTAAACTCACAGCCACCCTCATTCTCCTTTCACGCGCAGCAAAGAGACCATGCAAAGGGTGGGGAGGAGGCTCTTCCGGGACACAGGAAGCTGCTGCCTCTACCTCCAACTCCTTTTACCTTGTTGAAGTCTTCAGAAGTCGCCCTCATTTCCTTCCATGTCTTGTTCAGGAGCTGGATACAGATGCAGAAAAACTCCTCGAAGGATCTGTCATGGGTGAAGAACATTGGGTGGAAATCGTTGCAGGTCTCACTAGCTGGAGGAAAGAGGAGGGAAAGAAGGGAGGAAGTTGAGAAGGGAAATGAAAAGACACGGCCACATCCCCCAAAGGGAGACGGTGGGAGGCACGTTCACCTCAAGCCACTGAGGAAAAAAGGCACTGAGAAAAGGTAACCAGAGGCTAGTCCACATGAAACCTCCAAGTTTAAGGTCAGATGGTCAGACCTATCCTTACGCACATATTTTGATTGAAGGAAGTTAGCTTGTAACTGTTCCCATGTCATGATCATTATGGCTTTGGTCCAGAATGCCTGGTGTTGAATATGGGCTCTGCATCTGCCTTATTGACCTTATAAAGATCATTCAAACTGCCCTGTCAATCACAGCTCCTCCATCACCCGTAATTTCCCATTTCTCAACTGAATAACTGGCAGAAGATGAGCTTTCCCGAATACACCATTAATTGCAACTTTGAAAATAGCATCCTTAAATTATTTCTCCAGGGGGCTCTTTTCCCTCTTATGGCAGTAAGCAGGGGACATCTGAGATCATTAAGCATCTGATACCATTAACCATTTGTCTGACATTCCCAGATACAGATGGCCGGAGGTCAAAGCAGCCCAAGTGTCTTTGAAGGTTCAGTCCTGGACCAAACCCTGAAGTCAGTCAGACTGCCTTCAAACCACCTCATTACAAAGTTTCCTTTGTCATGGTCAGACTCAGTGCTTTGAATTCTAGGTGTGGCCACCTGTTTCCTCTTCCCGACCAGCACACCAGCCCCTCCCTTCTCCTCAGCTCTTTGTCTAGCTTACATTTTTACAGTCCTTTTACTTACATTCATTTGCTCTTCAGAATACCTCTGACTGTTCATGTCATATGAACGAGGCTACTGGAGCCCAAGAAAGTAAGCTTTGTGACTCCCTTATCCCTGATTCCCCAGGGTCAAAACAGGATTCTACTTTTTTTTTTCTTTTAATATAGGCTGTTACGTACAGTGAAAGAATTTCTATTTTAATTGAACTCTATTTAAAGGCCAGTTAGTCCTCAAGGCCCCAGATGGTTAAATTTCAAGCCTTGGAAGTCCAGGAGGGCAGGAGGGGTGGGACGGGAGTAAGGTTTACAGCACTTGGGGAAGGTCAGGGTGCCCGTTGTGTAGTTGAACACAGACATTATTTAGAGATAAACCCCTGGGGAAAGCCTCTGGTGAGTGAGCCCTGATCAAACCCATGGGCACATGCTCCGCTCTGGTAGGGGCACACCTATACACAAACCTCTTTTGTCTGCATCCTTTAGAATAGATAGTAAATGCTGTTCTCTTCCTGAGAAGGTACAGACATAAGCTAGCAGCAGCCAGCAGTCACACTAAAAATGTTTGGGTCTGAGGGCAAAAGACTTGGGTTCAAGTCCATCTATGACAATGAGGAGCTCACTTCACTTTTATGACTCTTGATTTTTGAAACTAAAAAGTGGAAATGAAATCTCCACTACCTTCCCCATTCATGGGAAAGTGCTCTAAAAGGATATAAATAGACACAAATATGGAACAAAGCGGTGGTGATGACAATGAAGGTTGTACCAGCAGGTCATTTCCAGGAACATGGGCTATTCTCTCATGGCCCTCAATTCTTAGTCAAGGCTGTTATTACATCTCAGAAATTAGAGGAAAGAACATATAAGTAAGCCCAACTCCAGCTCATGTGAGTGGTGACTGGCTGACTGTTAGTCACAATCGTGTCTGACTCTTTGTGACCCCATGGACTGTAGCCCGCCGGGCTCCTCTGTCCATGGAATTCTCCAGGCAAGAATACTGGAATGGGCAGCCAACCCTTCTCCAGGAGATCTTCCCGACCCAGGGATCAATCCCAGGTCTCCTGCCTTTGAGGCAGATTCTTCACCATCTGAGCCACCAGGGAAGCCCATGTTAGTGGTAGAGATGGCGAAACTGAAGAAAGTGAAGTCCTGAGCTGATATACAAAGCTATTGAAGGAACTTGAAAAGTAAATGCAGGAGGGTTGTATGTTTGCTGCCCTGGGCAATGAGCTGTCACTCTTACTTTCATAAGTACTGAAGCCAGTAAAATTTACAGGTCTATAGCAGCACTTTAAAGCACTATCACCATACAAAAACTTATTAATCACATTATCACAGTACCGTTTTCAGGACTGGTGTGATTATATGTATACTTTATGCCCTAATTAAAGTTTTATGGGACTGCTGGAGCTGAGCAAGCCAGACAAAACTGAAAACAATGAGCTCTGCTCTTGCTTGGGTGAAGAGGAATGGAAACGACATCCTTAAAAACAGGGATCAGGTGGTAGAAGATTGTATGTAACTCACAAGGGCTCTAGGGGTGTTATCTGCACAGCAACCCAGGAGGCAGACATGATGCTTATCCTCATTTTACATATGAGAAAGGTGAAACTTGCAGAAATTAAGCCTTCCATCATGCCAACTAAGGCAGGTGCCCCTAAATGAGCATTGGAAACCTACAGTTTTAGTTGACCCAGCAGCAGCTTCCTGCCCTAGTTGACACCAAGAACACAGGGCATTTCCTTGTAATTGATGCTTTGAAAATTAATTTCTCCACCTACTCTCCTAGATCTCCTTGGATTCTTCCTTCAACAGAAACCATGATCTCGATGCACAGCCCAGTGAGGCTCACAGCAAGTACACAGCCAGCACCTGTTGATGGATAATACCCGGCCATGTGATATTACCAGCAATGGTCATACCACTGTCATTGGCTCATGTCAGGCCATATTTTCCTCTAGGAAAATAACATCAATTTCTTTTTATTTAAATTAGAAACAGTGTTAGAGGGGTTATGAAAGTTGTCCAGGGTCACACAGCTTTCAAGTGGCAAATTCAAAATCAGTTGACTTGGCTCCAAAGTCCATCATCATTGCCCTTACACTGTTGCGGTGACAGCCCTTCATTGTTGCACATCCAGCATTCTACACCAGAACCACTGTTTTCAACCTCCATAAGAGAACAGCTTTACCATCGTCCTAAGCTTCTTTGGGACTCCTCCCTTGTGATGAGAAATGGGCACACAACACATCAAAAACAATTTGCTTCCTCACATGTTACCAAAGAAACAATGAGGAGACTGATGTATTTTGGGATTTATGATTTAAAGGTGTTCCTATATTAGAGGCAAGGAAAAAGTAATTTTTTTTCCTCAAAAATATTCAAATTGCAGATATTCAGGATTGAGGATGATTGAGCAGGAAGGACTGGTCCAGATTATCTGATCTATTTTCCTCTTTCACTTTTCAGGTAAGAGCAGTGAGAAAGGCAAAATGGCTTGTCCAAGAGTTCATGATGGCAGAAAGTAGGCAAAGATGCTGGGAGTCAGGCTGCTGGGGTTCAGATCCTGGTTCTATCACTTACTGCTGAGTCAGCTGGGCAACACATTTCATCTGTCATTGCCTGAGTGTTCTCATCTGTAAACTGGGGGCAACAATAGAACAAACTTCATCAGGGGGCTGTGGGGACCAAAAGGGAACATGACTACAGGAAGTAAGCTCAATGCAACTATGGGCCAACAAAATTACACTACTCTTCATCCTATAGCAAGTGGACTTCAGCCCAGGCTGTCCCAGTGATTAACTAAACTTGCATCAGCTCACAGAGGTGGCCTGCTTCTCATGAACAGGGTCCTCATTCTGGAGATTTAAACAAACAAACAAACAGATAAAAATAGGGAAGGGAAGGTTTATTACTGTTTTTTTTAAGGAAAACAGAAACACTTATTGAAGAAAAAGAAGTGTTGAATTTGTAGGCAATGATTTTATAAATGGAATTTAAAGAGAAATTTTCAATGAGACAAAAATAGAAAGACTTTTTTAAAAACCAAGTTGTTTTTAAGCACACTATTTTTAACACAATGAGATTCTCTTTTATTAAAAAAAAAAGGATCAACTTACTGTTCTTTTAAGTCTGGGATATTAAGGTATTTTCAGGGCTGGGAGTAAATGAGTTCTTATTAATTTGCTGACATTTAATTCACTTTTAAATAGGAAGCTTTGAAAGCTTCTTTAATCCACACACTTTTGTTTCTAAAATGACAAATAAGAATGCCATACACTTATGTAGCATTTTTGCCTTTCAAAGTAGATTTGTTCCTATTTTCTGTTGGATACTGTAAGGTGAGACAGGTATGGTCATTGGAGGCTCAAAGAACAATGGCTTTTGTAGTGGAGCAAGTAAACAATGAAAGTGAATACAAAGAAAGCATGCTGCCCTGTGACCTTGAAAAGGTCGTCTCAGCTCCAGGGCTCCAAGTTTCTTACCTGTAAATGAGACCACTTGGTAAGGTTCCTGCCAAATCTAAGACTACACACACATACACACACACAACATAATGTATTTTAAAGTCCTTAATGTCCATTAATAATTATAGAACTTGGAGATTTCACCTGTACTGAGCTTTATGTCCTAAATTATTATTTCCTTGAATGACAGGATGGCTACACATTTCAGTTAGGGTATTAGGGCATCAGAGTGGCATTTGATAGGCTTAGAAATGTTTGATAAGCTGGTATTCAATCTTTCTTTCATAAGAAAAGTGTTAGTTGTTTTCAGCCCCTTTCAATCTATTAATATCACCGAATGCAGACCATTACATAAGAAAATTACACGACTAAAGATAGAATGACAAGATGACACAGGAAAATGCATGTAATTTCTGCTCTTTCATGGGAATTTTCTTAGAGAAATGTAAAGTTTGAGATGCTGAAAAGCTCTGTTCCATGCTTTCGATGACCCCTGTTTTACTCAGACTGTGAACCCATTTGCGAGTGACTAAAGGGACATGTTTTGGTGGCACGAGGCAAATTCTGAGTATTTTTACCATGAAATAATGAGCCATTTCAACTAAACCAGTCTTTGGAAATGGCACACTTTTGAAAGAGAGATAAGCACTGGCCTAACACAAAGGGCATTTTGTTTTAAAATACTGAGCTACAGGAAGAAGGGGATAAATCATAAACACAAGAGCACCGTGAAAACTGCCAGAATGGCTGCAAAATCTTA